TGTCTCTTATGCTGGTTTGCATCTTAAAGCCTAGTTTATCTGAGATTAAAGTTGCCACTCCTCCTTGTTTTTGATTGCCATTAGCTTGATATGGTTTTTTCTATCCGTTGACTTTTAGTCTTTGTGTGTAATATGTGTCTCTTGTAAACAGCATATTGAAAGATCCTGTGTTCTTATCCAGTCTGCTACTCTCTGTCTCTTGACTGGTACATTTAATCCATTTACATTCATTGTAATAATCAATAAGTATGAATTGATTATTGTCATTTTTCTGTCATAGAGATAAGGGGGAGATTAAATATGACAACATAAGTATGATAATTACTATAGTGCCTACTTGATGCCAAAATGAATGTTATCTACTACAGTCCTGGTATGTGATGCTGTAGAATAGGCACTGGAGCACCGGTCAGTTTGAACTGCAAGATTGGTAGTTGAAACTCACCAGCAGCTCCTCAAAAGTCCTATACAGGGTCACTATGAATCAGAGAAGACTTGATGGCACTTAATAACAACAACATTACAGTTACTAAATGAGATCAAACACATAGCAATAAAGAACCCTGGAAACAATAGGCTATTTACTCTCCTCAGGTTTCATTTAGTGGAGAATTTGCCTGTGACCTTGGTGGAGTCAGGAATGAATTCTTCCACTGTATATTTGAAAAGATGACCCAGCCAGAATATGGGATGTTTATGTATCCTGAAGAGGGTTCCTACATGTGGTTTCCTGTTAAGGTAAGTGTTCTTTTCTTTATGGTGTTTTGTGACAGAAAATGTTGATCGTAGAACATTAGCTCGTCTAGAATGTGCTTGTCTAAAGGGATATCATTGCTGATGTCAATCATATCTTGGATGAAAGTAGAAAATACTAGAAAGATATTTTATTGACTATGCAAAGATGTAGAAAAAATAAAGTAGGGGCTTAGCAGGCACACTTCTGAGCTCCTAAGACTTCACATGTGAATTAAACTCCACATCAGCCCAAGCCAATTCATATTAAACTGAAGTGAGTGTGTTAGTTAAGGTTTTGTGACAATGTAACTTGACCAGGATTCTCAGTGGTTTGGCAGTTAAAACAGTAATCCCCCATAGTGAGTTCTAATCTAATATAATCAACTACATGATGAGACCTGCTCTAAACAGCCAATTGAAAGGAAGTTTTCTTGAGAGTACAGCCTGGTTCCAGTATATTGGGCACTGACAAAGCTTCCTTTTTTTCCTCTTTAAACATTACAAACCTTTGTGTCAAGGGCTGCCTTCCAATAGATAACAGCAACAGAGCTGCTCTGCTACATACGAAACCCTGACCTAGAAGCAAGTAGTCTATGAATGGTTTAGCACCAGACTACCCACAAACATGCAGTGTATGATAGACAAGGGGGTGGCTGCCTTTACAGCTGAGCCCATTTTCCATGATGAGGGGCACTCTGCATTTGGCTCCAGTCCTGCTGTACAGCGCGTTTCTGCTCACGTACTGTCTTGCTTTCTGCTGAGTCTGGGTCCCGCATCTGGCTCATCATTTGACCTCCAATTCTTTGGGCTTGAACTAGGGGCTGCTCTATTGTCTGCTGCTCCTGGAAGTTGTCAGTAGCCTACCATCTTACCAGAGTTGACCGCCTGTCGTCTGTCCACCTGTCTTGGTTTATTTGGCCTACAGACTTGGGACTTGCCTACCTCTACAACTATGTGATCCATTTCTTTAGTGTAAACTTCTCTTATACACACACATATATGTGTGTATATATATA